TTTACCTTCAATTATGTTCAATAATTGTTAAAATGACTAAAAAAGTTAATATTAAACTTTTAAAATTATTGAATAGTATAAACTTCTTGATATTTACTAAAAGAGTAAGGAATTTAAGCCCTAAAACCGATTACTGTATTGGCGGACTAATACTACAGCTGGTGGACCACCAAATGCAAGCGAAAACATGTTGAAGTCGGCTCATAAAAAATCGTTAATCGAGGGATTGCTCGTTAACGAAAGTTAAGAATCTTATGGAAGGTAAATCGTTAACTGAAATCTCGTTAACCGAGGCGCTCATTAACCGAGGGACCACTGTAATGAGTTCCATAAGAGAGATGATGAACTACATGGCGGCACTAGGATAAAGTTGTGACTAAGATGAAAAGTTAGCACAGTACAGTACAGTATATATTAAAGTTATGTGGTATCTTATTATCAGGTTGGTTAGGTTTATGCTGTAAAAGGTGAAATACTGTATGATAATAGTGTTTAAGAAGATGTGTTTAATAGGAATGTTCTCTTTATATCAGGGTTGGAAAAAATCATGATTTTTTTTTTAATAAAAAAATTGATTTATTTGATTTAAATCAGATTTTTTTTATTTAAATCGATATTTTTATTTTTTTAATAATTGCATTAAAATAGTACAGTAATACCCCGCTTAACACGGTTTCGCTTAGCGCGATTTCACGTATACGCGGTGCCTCGCCAGAGCCGAACTTTCACTTAACGCGGGCTTTTTCCACGTATATGCGCAGAGTGTCCGGCTCGAGACGCTATTTTTAGATTCACCCCCCACCCGCCACCCTGCCTGACTGCCTGCCTGCCTGTTTTAGCTCATAAAATTCATACAAATTACCTGGCCAGAATATAATTTACATTGCTGGAATTCTTACAATTTGATGATCATTTTGAATATAAACATCATAGATTTTGCATTAGACGTACAAATTTTAGATATAATGTTTACTCTGAGTAAATATGTTATTTTTTGTGCAAAATATATGACATTTGTATTCAAAATATTCCTGGTCTTACAAGGAATCCAGCAATGTCAATTATATTATCCTAACTTTAGTTTGAGGTATTATTTATTACTAAAAAGGTAAACAGTCTGGTTTTCCCACACATCTGGTAGGGACGGTTGGTGGGGGGTGGGGGGGAGGGAGGGACCAACCGACCATCTGTTACGTGTGAAGAATATTTTTTTTTATTAACTGAAGATATTTGTTTTAGCTCATAAAATTCATACAAATTACCCGGCCAGAATATAATTTACATTGCTGGAATTCTTACAATTTGATGATCATTTTGAATATAAACATCATAGATTTTGCATTAGACATATAATTTAGATCTACTTTAAGTATTTTTGTTTACTCTGAGTAAATATAATATTTATCTTTGTGCAAAATATATGACATTCATATTCAAAATATTCCTATAGTCTTACAAAGGAATCAGCAATATCAATTATATTATCCTAACACAATCTGAGGTATTATTTAATTCTAAATGTTAAAATTTAGTTTTTCACCCAACATCTTGAAGGAGGATTGGTGAAGTGCAGAGGAGTTGGGACTGACCGACCACCTGGGTAGTTGGAAGAAGCAAGGTGGGGGTACTTTGATTGACAGATAATTAATAAGTGAAGAATATTTTTTTTATTAACTGAAGATATTTGTTTAGCTCATAAAATTCATACAAATTACCCGGCCAGAATATATAATTTACATTGCTGGAATTCTTGCAGTTTGATGATCATTTTTGAATATAAACATCATAGATTTTGCATTAGACATACAAATTTTTAGATACTAATGTTTACTCTGTGAGTAAATATGTTATCTTTTGTGCCAAAATATATGACATTTATAAAAATATTCAGTCTTACAAAGAATCCAGCTATGTCAGATTGTATTATCTAACTTTTAGTTTGAGGTATTATTTATTAAAAATTTAAAGAGTGGTTTCTCCCCAAAATTTCTCAGAGGAAGAAGCCAGTGAGTGTAGTGTGAGAAAGGGGAGGGAGTTGAATCCATTATTTGAATATGGTATTAACTAGCAGCTGTATTTCTCTATTTCTCTTAAGTATTAATTGTGTACATGTGCCATCATAAAATTAGATGTTATTTTTACTAGAACATAGGTATTGTGTGGGAAAAAGTGGAGTTTGAAATTAAGACCAGTTTCTGTGGAATCTAATCCCATATGTTCTGTTGTTCACTTAAGCAGCGGTTTTTCTTAACCGCGGTACCCTGTGGGTTTATTGACCGGTTAGCGGGGGTACTACTGTATTTTATACCATAAAAACAGTATTTTTCAACCAAAGCTTATTCAGGATAATAAACAGAAAATTGGCATTAAGATATTTATGCAGTAGATGTACCAATGGAATTTAACACAATAATATTCTTTTTGTAAAATAAAAGAAAACTGGTAACATATCTTACATTTGAGTGCACACATCCAAACGTAATAATAAAATTTAACATAAATGCTCTTATAGGATTACAGTGTTTCAAAAATTAATAACTTAACTTCTTCAAATCAACAGAATAATATTATCATTTTGTAAAAAGAAATAATACTGGTAACAAGTTTACTTTGTTACATTTGTAGGATTATAGTGTATTAAGAATTACCGGTAATAACTTCAAGTCAACACAATATTCTCATTCCGTAAACAACAAAAATAGTTCAAAACATTTAAATTAGCTCAGTTGAACATTGAAATGCTTATGTACTGTGACAAGCTTAGATGCCTTTTCCTGTCCTAGATGATTTCTTACCTTTGAGTGTACAAATCCATATGTGGAAAAAATTCTCTCAACCCCTGCTGATGATGCAACAGGTGTAAATATTTGCCTAGGAACATCCATTACATTTTCTGTCATATCATTGGCAAAATACTGCCACCAAGCAAGGAGTGAGAGAGATTTTACAGCATCTTTACCAAAATAGACCTCTTTAAATGATGCACTTCTTCCATGGAAGGACATTAATGTTGAAAGGAAATGTGGAAGAGACTCGCACACATACTGTTCTGCAATGTCTCTCTGCTCAGGAGTCAGATGTCTGCCCTGATACCTTGGATCTATCACATTAGCTAGAAAATGGGCAGGTGTCAATGCTACTTTGATTCTTTTTCAAAATTATCCATATCCTTCTTATCTGTTAAATACTCCTTAATATCAGTTTTCAGTTTTACCCAGATTTCTACAGCATCACTTAATAGGGTATGTTCTCTCTGGACACAGTCCAATGCCACAGCAATAGGCTTAAGTCTCTCTAGATAGTCTTCTGCAGTTCTTTTTAATGCCTTATCATTAACTTTCCTTTCAATTTTCTTATCATTGTCTTCACTATTTTCTTTGCACACTTTAACAAGGGTCTCCCAGTTCTTTAAATAAGATTCAATAGAATCTGTCACTGTGTTCCATCGTGTGTCTGATGGCATTACTAGCAATGTTCCTCCTGCTCTTCTATACAAAGATCCTGGGATGTGATGATTTCTGAAGTACTTAATGATTTGAGTAATGTGCTCCTTAATGTTCTTGATTTGCAGGTCTTGTGAAAGCAAATTTAACAGGTGTGCAGGGCAACCATATGTTATAATGGATTTATCTTGTCCGAATTCACTTCTCATTTTTGCCATATTAGCAGCATTATCTGTTACACAGCTTCTTACTGTGCATCCAAATTTGTCTTCACACTTTTTTGTAGCACATTCAGCTGTGTCTTGAGTCTGTGTCTGTAGAGTCAACAAGATAAATACTGTTGTCCGCTGTTAAAGTTACACATACTATAGGCTCATTATGGACATTACTCCATCCATCCATGGCCATGCAAACTGTTTTCCCACTAAGTTCATCTGAATAATTCTTAATCACTGAATCGTAGGCTTGATCCAAAAGAGACCCTCCAATTTGATGTCTATTAGGTGGAACATATCCTGGTCTTAGCATTTTAATCATCTTGATAAACTCTTCGTGCTCCACTGTTCGGAAGGGGGAATTTGTTGCATATATATAATTAGCAACTTGCTGATCCAAAGTGACTTTTTCAGACTTAGTAGTTTTTATCACAAAACCAGTTATGCTTCTTTGGTCCATAGAACTCTCCCTCTTATCTCTCTTGAATGGTGAGGGAGAAGGAGCAGCTGATATATCTTTAACTGGATGATGAAGCTGGAAAGAACAGACTATACAGTAGTACAGTACATAATTATGTAAACCCAAATAATGTTATTAGCCTGCTCCATTGCATATACTTTTCAATTATGTAGAATAAAAAGAGAAAACAGTTATTAGTAAAAAAATCATTTTGATTTAAATCATGATTTTTTTACTCTGATTTAAATCGATTTAAATCATGTGATTTAAATCATTTGATTTAAATCATAACAACCCTGCTTTATATAGTTACACATCAGTGTGTTACTCCTCTTATCTGAGGTGTTTTAGTTACATCACAGGCTCAAAGTGTATGACATTATTGTGTGTTTTATCTTCACTTTTATCCTCAGTATCTTTGTGTTCGGTGGAAGGAATGTGTTTAAGGGTGATAAAAAAAATAGTTTATTGGAGATAGTTCGAAGATTTAATGCTGTGAGAAGTGAAAATGCAGCTGCTACCATTGCCTGGGAGTTGATTCTTTCTTCTACAACTGTTTGTTCCATAATTAAGTTAATTGTTTCCTTATTCTTTGTTTGGATATCATAAGGTAGCTACAGTGACACCTTACGTCACATAAAATTCCTCCTTTTTTATTGGATGAGTGTTGTTATTAATGAAGAGGAACATAAGCCTTTCCCTTATTCCATTAGTACAGTAATTCTTATGAGGATATATTTTCAACTCAGTACACTACTAGTCCCTATTTTTTAGTGCTCTACCCTGACGAATAATGGGGACCCTTGTAATTGCAATCAATATTCTACAGTACTTATTCTTTTGAAATTATTTTTATACAGTATTCCTTTTTTTTTCCCCCAGATGATGGGTTCATGTACAGGCTGCCCCTCATCAGTTGTTACATTGAAAAATGGTGTACAGAATATGCTTCAGTTTTACATCCCAGAGGTAAGAAACTCATATACGGTACAGTAATTCCCAGCCACAGTGCAGCCCACTGTAATATAAAATGACCACATCAATGATACAGGCATAAATAATCAACTGGTTGGTCACTCACTAAATATAAACACTATCATTTTACAGGTGGCTGAGGTTGTGGAGGTTAAAGATGTAGAAGATGATCTTATTGAGGAAGAGTTCAACAAGTTTGAGAAGGAGCTTAATTCAGAGCAGACCAAGTCAAAATAAGAGCTGTAGGGTGTTAGATATTGTCTCCCTTAGCATTAGTGGTTTCTTCACATTATACAGTATGTATATGGCAGAGTAGATAGTTGCTGTTTTGTTTTATGTAACAGCAACTAATAACTTCATATCCTCTCAAAAAAACCACAATATGTTAGAGGAAAGGTTTTATTGAGGTCTTTTTTCTCAATCAAATGTAGTTTTTATCCCTAAAACAGTAGTACAGTAAATTGTCTCACTGTATTTAAACCATGGAGTAAGAGAGATGACCTAGTCCTTCTATATATATATATATATATATATATATATATATATATATACACAGTTGGTCCTCACATTGCGGTTAATGTAACCCGGAGGGTCCGCGGAAAGTGAGGCAGCGTAAAGTGAACAACATAACATATGGGATTAATTGAAATGGGTCCAGGCGTCCCCCAAACTCCACTTTTGACGACACACAACTATGTTGTAGTAAAAATATTATCTTAACTTTATGATGGCATGCACGCACAATTAATAATTAAGAGAAATATCAATAATATTAGTTTTTTAACACTTACATTAGTAGAAAGATGGCTGGGCACACAGGGGATGGGGGTTGGTTCGAGGCAGAGGGCAGATTATTGGCCCTCACCTGTATCACTGGTATCGATTATCACTATCCACCACAGAGGCTTGCAGGGCCTCTTTGTTAAACCCCTCAAAGTCCATATAAGTCCATATCCTCACTATAATTATCACTATCACTGACTTGGGCGGTTGTGGTGGGTGGCGGATAAAACCGTTAATGTTTTTGATGACTGAGGCCTTATGCGCACCATTTTCGCCTCTTACACAACATGGCGGATGGCGGAGGTTTGGATCCAAAAATGGCGCGGCTTGCCAGCCGCTCTCCACGTATGGCGTTAGCGAC